TGTCCTGGATCTCACTCTGTAGACCAGGCTGGCCTTGAACTCACAGAGATCCACCTGGCTCTGCCTCCCGAGTGCTGGGATTAAAGGTGTGCCACCACCCAGCACAAATCTCTGTTTTTATTTGAGGGAAGGTAAGGGACAGAGAGAACTAGAACTACAAAAGAGGACAAGTAGCTCTGTCTCTTTTCTAACTGGACCTCTTCTGGGTAAACAGTCCAGGGTTTGGCAAACTATAGCCCACTAGCTACTGCTTTTTATAGATGAAGTTTTACTGGAACACAGCTATCCTTATTCACTATCTGTAGCTGCTTCTGTGCTTCCATGGCTGGGTTGAAAAGCTGTGTCACAAACCACAAATATAAAATATTAACAAAAAATGTTTGCTGACCTCTGAAATCAACTTTTCTATAGGATAACCTTAGTACAAAACACCTAAATATTATCTACAGACAAGAAACTATAATCTGTGAGGCATGGCTTCCAGAAACTAGTGCTCAAGTAACGTGGCTTTTGTGAAATGTAGAGATGTTTAGTAACTTACACATTCTATTAAAACCTCCCTTGGAGACTTCCTATTTTGAAGCCTTTGTCCTAACACTCTTTTTCTGACCTACAGTTCATTCTTCATTCCTTGCTAGAAGTTATTCTGTTGTTTGGTGTAGGACTGTAGCTGGATGGTGAAGATCATGCTGAATGAACTTTGCTTTTGATGCATATAAAACTCATCTTATTTCCATTCTATTTCTCTGTGTTATGAGAAATATGTTATGAGAAGTTATGAGAAATCTTTTCCTTTTTTTTTTTTAACATGTAGGGAATATTTGGGCTCCATCTAGATCTTACTGAATATTTTTTTAAAAAGCATTTCCACAGGCCCATGAGATGCTCAGCTAGTCGGGGCACTTGCTGCTGAGCCTGGTGGCTTGTGTTTACTCCGTGGGGTCTACATGTTAGGAGGAAGACAGCTGACTCCTACAGGTTGTCCTCCGACTCTCTATACAACATGGCGCGTACCTTCTCTCACATATACACAAGTCAGTAAGAAATAAAGATAAATTATTTCCCTAGATGATGCTTTTCTCAAACACAGGGAGCCAGTGCAGCCCCATCCATAGCTGGCATAGATCCTAGCTTCCTTGCTGATGGAAGGGATGATTTTGAAGCATGAATTTCTCTTCCCTAATTTCTTTGTGCAGTCTGGCTGATGCCGCTCTTTACAGATCTTTAAGCGCTCAGGCTTGGTGGTTCCTTCACTCCCATGCTTCTGCACCTCCCTCGCTAGTCCTTTGGAGCACTTCCTTGATAGTAACAGACATAGGCCTTGACTCAGGATCTGCTGCTGGAGAATCTGACTTCGGAACATAAGGAGAATTATCACAGACTTACTTTTTATAGTCGATGTTGAGGTTGGCAGTCATGGCAACTCCCTCGGCAAGTGCACACATGCCAGTAGTGATATCAATCATGGTTGCAATGGCACCTCCGTGAACAAATCTAGTCACAGCGGCGGCAGAAGAGAACATTTCAGAAGTTCAGGAAATAGCCTCTCAAGATATCAGTTATTCAAGTGTCTTATAACATTTACCTCATATTCAGTGTAAATAATAGCCATATCCTTAACTTTGTCCATAGAAAGGATACTTGTAATAAAACTGGAGCTTAGTAGAAAATCATATTACAGCATGAAAAATTTAATTAAAAGAAACATTATGCTTGTATATATACATATTCCTTGTTTAAAAGTTTACAAAGTGGGGCTGGAGCCCTGGCTTAGCAGTTAAGAGCACCCAAATTCAGTTCCCAGATCCAGGTGGATCTGACATCTCCAGATTCCAGATACCTGTGCTCATATGTGCGCGCGCGCGCGTGCGCGCGCGCGCACACACACACACACACACACACACACACACACACACACACACACACACACACACAGAGTTTAAAGTAACAATAAAAGGAATCTTTAAAGTTTAGTAAGTGAAGATAAGTAGAAGGAAGAAACCTTAAGGCCCTTAGTACTACCATCAAGTCATGGCCAAACCACTGTAAATGTGTTCATTATACTCTGTTGCTCTACGTCCTATAATAATATATTATATACATCATTTAATATTATGTTAAGATTTTAAAATTTAACCAAATTAGATAAACATCTTTTAATATCAATAAATATGTATCTGTATTGCCATTTTAATGTTGTCTTTGTAGTCCCTGGATATGTGAGAATAAAATTCTTTCAGCTCCATGCTGCTGGGACAGTACTTACCCAGGTACCCCTTGCAGGTGAAGACCTCCTTGAAACAAGCAAACCATCCTCTTCTCCCCTTTATTATAGAACATCACATACTCAAAGCCCAGGCCTTCCTCTAAGCTTCTGCTGAACTGTTGGGCCTTTGACATTTGTTCTTCTTTCGTAACAGACCCGGGGTCTGTGAAGAAACAGGGGTATGGAGACAGGAGGGCAAAAAACAGATATAAGAAAAACGCCTCGACAGAACTAATCCCCGTACCCCGATAAAATCATATGTGGATGGAGCACTGGTCAAAATGCCCAAGGCAGGAATGGAAAGGTCACCAGAAACAGTACAGCCACTAAGGATGTTTAATTAGCAGAGTGCTTGCCCAGCGGGCACAAAGGCCTGGGTTCCCAAGCCCCAGCACCACATAAGACAGAGTGTGGTGGTGCATGACTGTAATGTTGGCACTTGGGAGGTAGAAGCAGAGAGATTAGAAGTTCAAGGCTACTTGGTGAGTTTGAGGCCAGTCTGGACTTCATGAAACCCTGTCTCAAAACAAACTAAAACAAAACCGAGAAAAAACAGAACATAAACTCTCTAGAACAGCAAACACATACTTGTAAACATACATGGACAGAGTAAAAAAACAAAGTACCAACACACACGGGAATTAGTGAATACAGCATATAAATGCTAGGAAACTGAGTGAAAAAGTGAGGTGCAGACAGAAATTCTTCTGGGCATAAATCTGGTTTAAATCGACTTTAAAGTTTTCCTGGCAGATGTGAATTTACCCCATTATCCTGAATTAGAAACAACTAGTTCATCCCAGTAAATCACCACCTTTGAGTTAGGAGGCAACGTCACGAGCAGGCCAAGGGAAGTGAAGAGGGTGCACAAAGACCCTTATTCATGGTTAGTTCATTCATGCAGCAGAGAAGCAGACCAAGCTCAGGTATAGAGAGGAGGGGACAAGAGGTGGTGAGAGCTTGGAAAGGCTCTTCTGCTGGCTTTTATTAGTGAAACAGGGAGCAAGACCTGCTGAGAGTGAGATGGGAAAGCATTAGAGGTGTGAGTAGAAAGTCAGGAACAGACTAGGAAAACAGGAGACAGGCTGTCAAGAAACATTAAGGGCTAATTAGAAGTCATCAAATATTGTATAAAGCTCTCAAAGAATTAACTAAAATAGTTATTTAATACAAAGTGTGTTAAAAATAAAACAAACAAACGAACAAACAAACAAAAAACCCCAGAATGATGGGAAGTGTAATTTGTGAGTGTTGGGTATGCGGTAGGTTGTCTTTGGGCTTAAAGTCTGAGAGACTAGAGGGTGTGCTAGCTAGTTTATGTGAACTTGACACCAGCTATTATGTCAACTTGTCATAAGCTAGAGTCATCAGAGAGGCCTCAATTGCAGAGATGCCTCTATAAGATCTGGCTGTAGGCATTTTCTTAATTAGTGATTGATGGGGGAAGGCCCAGCCCATCATGGATGATGCCACCCCTGGGCTGGTGGTCCTACAGGAAAACAGACTGGCAAGCCATTGGGAGCAAGCCAATAGGCAGCGCCCCTCCATGGCCTTTGCTCCTGCCTCCAAGTTTCAGGCCCACTTGAGTTCCTGTCCTGACTTCCTTCAGTGCTGGACTACAATGTGGAAATGTAAGCCAGATAAGCCCTTTCCTCCCCAGCTTGCTTTTGGTCATGGTGTTTCGTCATAGCAATAGTAACCCTCACTATGACAGAGGGTAGTTCAAGTGTTCTGATCTTCTCAAAGAGAAGGAGCCAGATTTTGAGATAAAGAGAAAGATTGTTGATATCAGCTTCAAGATGCCAGGTTGGGATTATCTTATTTTTGATAATATGTATTATGTTCTCCCACAATCCACAGAATTTTTTTTTTTGTTTTTTGTTTTTTGTTTTTTGTTTTTTCGAGACAGGGTTTCTCTGTGTAGCTTTGTGCCTTTCCTGGAGCTCACTTGGTAGCCCAGGCTGGCCTCGAACTCACAGAGATCCGCCTGGCTCTGCCTCCCGAGTGCTGGGATTAAAGGTGTGCGCCACCAACGCCCGGCTATACAATCCACAGAATTTAGTGAGATTTCTTGCCTATAAAACTAGGGATGGCTGGGCGGTGGTGGCGCATGCCTTTAATCCCAGCACTTGGAAGGTAGAGCCAGGTGGATCTCTGTGAGTTCAAGGCCAGCCTGGGCTACAGAGTGAGTTCCAGGAAAGGCGCAAAGCTACACAGAGAAACCCTGTCTTGGAAAAAAACAAAACAAAACAAACAAACAAACAAACAAAAAAACTAGGGACAACAGAACCCCCAGTACTATTTTTTCTTCTTTCCCCTCTCCCTAATCTCCTTCCCTTTCCCTTCCTTCCTTTCTCTCCCCTTCAGTCCCTCCTTGCTTCCCATCACCCTCTTTTTTTCTTTCTCACCACCCTGAAAAAGGGTCTTACTATGTAGCCCAAGATGGTCATGAACTTGCTATGTGACCCCACCTGGCTTTGAGCTCATGATCTTCCTGCCTCAGCCTACTGAGAGGAATTCTAGACATGGAAGAATTACCATGCCTGGCTCTTCCTTCACTTTAAGTAATAATTAGTGCTTCAGTTTGTTACACTTTACATTGATGTTCAAATATTATTTACGGGAAAGTGGCTGTTCTTACCAACAAAACGGGTTTGAAATTCTTTAAAGGTTTGAACAGGATTTTGTCTGTACGAAGGCAAACGTTTCCAGGAACCATCTTCACATTTCTTCATGAACTGGTCAAAGAGGAGTCTTAGGTCCTTGCTCCAGCTGGGGTTCGGGAGACCATAGTCCTTGTGAATGACTTTCTCAGAAGAAAATAACCTCTAAAAGACAGAGACAAGAAAAAAAAAAAAAGAACAGGACGTATATACTATTTCCTATTTTCTACAACTTCCTAAGGCTACCATGCTGTTTTTCTCACTGCTAGAAGATGATCACTTCAACATGGCCGGGAACGTCTGAGCTCATTTGTCCTACACCCCTTTATGGAAATGAGAGAATGACACAGGGGCAGTGATTTGCCCAACTTCTCCCAGCTAGTTACTGGCAGAGATAACATTAAGCCCAGGTGAGCCAGTCACCAGAGACAGAGAAATGGACGGGTGAGATGCACACGGTGTGGTAGTTTGAATGCAATTGGCCTCCATAACCTCACAGGATGTGTGGCTTTGTTGGAATGGGTGTGGCCTTGTTGGAGGAAGTGTGTCACTGTGGGTGGGCTTTGAGGTTTCCTACGCTCAGGATACCACCTAGTGTCTCAGACCATTTCCTGTTGCCTGCAAGGTGTAGGACTTTCAGCGACTTTGCCAGCACCATGTCTGCCTATACATCTCCATGTTCCCCACCATGACAAAAATGAACTGAACCTTTGAACTTACTGTTCACCCCAGTGAAATGTTTTATTTCTTTAGAAGAGTTGCTGTGGTCGTGGTGTCTCTTCATAGCAACAGAGACCCTGACTGTGACACATGGGAAGTTGGAACACAAGGGAATGGTAGGATTTGGTTCAGCATTTGGCTCTTTGACACAAATATTGATAAGTAGAAACTAGCTATCTGGACAGAGTAGTGTATGTAAAAACAAAACTGAACAAACAAGCCGCAACAACAAAACAAAATCAATGTGGGCAAACGTAAAAGAGGCACAAAACAGTTTTGAAGGGTTTTACTATATGCAATAGGAACTAACTATTATCCCCATTTTTACAGATGATGAAATTAAGGTCTGGAAGAAGCTAGGCAATGTCAGTGTAAGAGAAGGAGCAGAAGGATATAGAGGTATAGGCAAAGCCTCAATGTTAAGCTAACTGGTTTGAATTATTCTGCAGCACTCTCAGATTATTTAAGCAGGGAGTGACATGCTCAGATTTAGTCATAATAGGAAAGAGAATGGTAATGTCCATGATTGCAAATGGAGGGTTTGGGGTATTAGGATAACTCAGTGAGAATTATGAGATCATAAAGCAGAACTCAGAGACTGCTTCCATAAAGCAAATGAAGGAATAGGATAAATACTACAGTCAATCCCTGGTGTACAAATGGCACCATGGAGTAAATGACAGTTAATTACAGGAAAGAATACAAGAGGGACAGGAGGAGGCTGCGAGAAGAGAGGCTGGTGTCATGGTAACTATGACTTCCACTCATGATGCTTCTCTGGAACACTGAGCATTGCCACCATTCCAGTCAACAACCGAAATGTTGGGGGACTAGGAAGACAGAGTATGATCTGTGAAGGGGCATAAAACAGATGCTCACAGACAGCAGGCAGGAAAGGACAGTAGAAATCTCAGGCAGTGTAGGTTATAGAAGGGATCAACTATGTGGCCTTCTATTTCTCGTCACCATTATCAATCCATTCCGATTAATGTATGTATCACTTGGACTGCACCCCTGACAGCACCACGTGGTGCTCACTGATGGAAGAATCAGCTTCTGCTGGTCCTGAGTTGGCTCCAATCCTGGTTCAATAGGAAAACCAGAGGAACCTGTCTCTAGCACTATATGAAATTAAAAACTGGATTGGTGAGATGACTCAGTGGGCAAAGGCGCCTGCACCAAGCCTAGTGACCTAAACTGGATCCCTGGCACCTATACAGTGGGAGGAGAGAACTAACAAAAATGTCCACAAAGTTGCTCCTCAACTTCCACTCACAAACAAATAAATAAATGTAAACAAAACAAAACAAAACAACCACCACAACAAAAACCCTTCCATGGAGATAAATGGGAAGTCCTGACTTTATGGTACTAGACATGAGGAAACAAACAGAAATCACATTTTGCCTGTAGCTCAGGATAAGTAACTTCATTTTCTATGCCTCTTTGATCAGCTCATCCCTTCAGAACCCAGTTTAGATAATCTGGGAAAGACAGAAGGCTCTATCCATTATTTCTCTCTCCAAACAAAACTATGTTAAAGTATCAATGTATTTCCTCCAAGTTCTTTGATTCACATACTGCATCCTGATTTACACTGCTAAGGTAGTTGATTTTACATATTTCTAGCAAGCCTCTGGCAGCAAAAACCTTGCATAGTTCCAAAGTTGTAAACTTCATTCAGCAGGTTTTTTCCCCTCTTTTTATACTGCCCATTCCCATTGAAGTTGCCATCTACTTTTTAATTTTTCATTAAAAAGTTTTAAAGGGGTGGAACGATTGTAAAAGCCAGAGGATCAAGGACTTTGCCATGAGGTTGTGTTTCCTAATAGATATCACCACATGTCTTACCACATGACTGCCCAAATGTGAGCTGAACAGGGATGACAGCAACAGACATGCTAAACCACACGGTGAACAGCCCGAGAGGCTTCAACCCTACACAGAGAACTACAGGCAACTGAGTAAGGCTGGCAATGGGAGGGAGAGGTGGTTCTTCCCAGGGAAGAGCACACCAGTAGGCTGTCCAGTCCCAAACAGTCAATGCTGAAAACATACATACAAGCACCATTATATGGACTCAACAGTTATATCTGAGATTATGTATGTATATATAAATACATATAAGCATGCAAAAACAACTGATGATAAAAGAGGTTTTGAATTTAAAGGAGAGTGAAGAGGGGTATACGAGAGGACTTAGAGGGTGAAAGGGAAGGGAGAAATGTTGTAATTACAATACAATCTCAAAAGGTTTTACCTTATTTTGTTTTTGCAACAGGGTGTTTAGCCCAAACTGGTCTAAAGTTTGTGATCTTCCTGCCTCCCAAATGTGGGATTACAGGCATGTACAATCTTGCCTAGCACGAAAATCTTATTATTTATTTATGAGACCAGGTCTCACAACGAAGCCCCAGATGGCCTGGAATTCATTATGTAGACCCTGCTGGCCTTGAACTTGCAGAGATCTGCCTGCCTCTGCCTCCCTAGTGCTAGGATTAAAGGTGTGTGCACCACCCTGCCAGCTCTTTGCAGGAATCAGTTCTCTTCTTCCATCATGGGAGTCCCAGGGATCAAATTCATGTCTTGAGGATTGATAGCAGGTACCTTTACCCAGCTTGCATTTTGCAAGCACAGCACTCCCTCCCTGTCTCTGCTGTCTCTCTTATTTCTTTATATTGGGATAGGGTCTCACTATATGTAACCTTGCCTGACTAGGCTGGCCTTGAACTCAGAGATCCACCTACCTCTGTCTCCCAAGTGCTGGCATTAAAGGTGCGTGCACATTTTCACCTCTTTAAACATTTAACATTTCTTGGTGCTATAACTTTCAAATGTCTTTCTTTTAGTCCTTTATAAACTATAGAATAGGGGCTTAGGGAGATGGCTTGGAGACAGTTCAATGGGTAAGAGGGGTTTGTCTATAAGCATTAGGACCTGAGTTTAAATCCCTAGCACCCATAGAAGCTGGCCATGGCTGAATGTGTCTGTGACCCAGCACTGAGCATGTGGAGATAGGTAGATCCCCAAGAGCTTGTTAGCCAGCCAGCCTAGTCAAAATATCCAGTTTCTAGCTCAATCAAAGACTATGTCTTAAGGCAAAAATAAGATGCAGAGTGATAAAGGAGGGCATCTGCCAGCCTGCCCTGGCCTCTGTATGCATGTGATGGATGCACCACACACAGACACACAAGTATATAATAGAGCTTGGGGACACAGCTCAGTGGTAGGACACCAATTTGACTCTGTTAAAGAAAAAACACACCTATATCTAATAAATTGCTATAAACTATAACCACCCACCTGTGCTGTAGTGCTTACACCCCTATGTACCTGTATTTTGCTATTGGTTATTCAGCCTCTCTATTCCCTCTCCCCTTACTAGTCTCTCCCCTTTCTAGTCTCTAGCAACCAGGACTCTCTGCTTCTATGAAATTAGCTTTTTTAGTTTTCATGTATGAGTGAGAGCTCTTGCTATTGCCATTTGGTGCCTCCCCCAAGCTCTTCAAATATAATTTTCTTTAATATACTCGTAATCTGGGAAATAAATTTTTTCTGTGCTGCCATTTAAAATTACTTAGTATTCACTTTCTTGTGGGTTTTTTTTTTTGTTTTTTGTTTTTTTGAGACAGGGTTTATCTGTGTAGCTTTGGAGTCTGTCCTGGATCTCACTCTGTAGACCAGGCTGTCCTCGAACTCACAGAGATCCGCCTGCCTCTGCCTCCTGAGTGCTGGGAGTAAAGGTGTGCGCCACCATCTTTCTCATGTTCTTAGTCTTAGTATCACCAAATGTGTGTGTATGTATGGTGTATGTGCACATGTGTGCTTGGGTGTGCTTGGCATACATGTGGAGGATGTCCCACATCCTGCTCTCTCACTCTCCACTTTATACCTCTGAGACAGGATCTTTCATGGAAACTAGAACTAGGCTGGTGGCCAGAACGCTCTGGGTACCCACCTATCTCTACCCGCCACAGTGTTACCCACTCAGATGGCTATGTTCAGCTTGTTATGAGGGTGTTGGGATCCAAACTCAAGTCCTCATGCTCATGTGGTGAGCATTCTTAGCTGCTGAGCCATTTCTCCAGGTACCACCATTAAAAAATTATATAATTATCTTATTTCTATGTACGTGTCTGTGTGAATGTAGGCAATGTATGTGTGGATGCCCGTAGATGCCAGGGGACAGCGTTAGATCACTTGGAGTTAGAGTTGCAGGTAGTTGTGAGCCATCCCATGAGGTGCTGGGAACAGAACTTGGGTCCTCTGGAAGAGCAGTATTGTTGTTTGAATGAGAATGGACCTTACAGGCTCATATATTTTAATGTTTGGTTCCCTGTTGGTGGAGCTATTTGGGAAAGATTAGGAGGTGTGGCCTTATTGGAGGAGGTATGCCACTGGGGGAGGGCTTTGAGGCTTTTAAAGCTCATGCCATTCCCAGTCAATTCTCTTTGCCTCCTACTTGCAGATAAGAATGTAAGGTCTCAGCTACTCCTGAAGCACCACGCCTGCCTGCCTGCAGCCATGCTCCCTACCATGATGGTCATGAACTCACTCTCTGAAGCCGTAAGACCCCAATATACACCTTCTTCTATAAGTTGCCTTGGTCATCGTTTCTTCACAGTGTCTTGTCCCCTCTCAGATCTCTTAAATAGGAAACCCGAGTCCATCAGGTCTAACATCCTTTTATGGACTAATGAAATACAGTTAATTGAAGACTCTTAGTAATCAGATTGACTCCCTGGGCTTGCCTACCTAATTTAACCCCCACCCTTTTTTTTTGAGACAGTATCTCATGGAGCTCCACCTACTTCTCCCTGAGTACTGGAATTAAAGGTGTGTTCCACCATGCCCTGTCTGATTTATTTAACCTTTAAATAAAATCTAATAAATTTTCTTGAGTTCTATTAGGTGCCCTGTTTTTATACCAGGGACAGGAAAGACAAAAAGACAAGACCCAGGTCCTGCCTTTAAGTGTTAACAGCCTCAGATATGGGAAATATTACTACACACATAGATAGATACAAGTGCTTTCAGGGAACACTTAAAACAAACAAACCACACACATCAACAAAGGGATTTCTTGCAGCTAAAGTTCATGCAAGTGTGTGGGAGACCCACTCCCACTTTTACTCCAGGGTACTCTAGAGGAGGGAGAAGTGAGAATATTGAGATAGAAGGATAGAGGGGAGAGAGACAGACAGAAACACAGGTGTAGCACGAATCTTAACAAGTCTTATTAATAAAATCATACCTGAAGACAGGCATTGGGGTGACTGCTGGAAGATCAGAGAAGCAGAACAAGCCACAGCTTCCTCACCTCGCCAATTCCTCAGCTGATTCTGTTTCCTCAGACTGGAAGCTTCTGAGTCCTCATCCAGAATCTCAACTGAACTGCTGCTAAAAGCCTAAAAGCTTAACCAGCCCTAGTTCCTGGTTTTCACGCATTGTATACCTTTCTGCTTTCTGCCATCACTTCCTGGGATTAAAGGCGTGAGTCACCATGCCTGACTGTTTCCAGAGTGGCCTTGAACTCACAGAGATCCAGATGGATCTCTGCCTCCCAAGTGATAGGATTAAAGGCGTGAGTCCCACCATTTTCTGGCCTCTATGTCTGTCTAGTAGCTGTTCTGCTCTCTGACCCCAGATAAATTTATTAGGGTACATGATATATTGGGGAACACAATATCACCACACACAGCATACTCAGGAGGGCCTGGATCCTTATCCACTGGCCCCTTCTGTCTCTTCTAAAGGGCTTTTTAAAGGAATGCCAAGGGGCAGGGCAAAACACCTCCCCTTTGCTAGATCAAAGCACCTTTGCTAGATCAAAGCACACAGCCATGTCCAGGCCTTTCCAAACACCCGGTAACCATGCACATGGTCAAGCAATCCTCTAATGCAGCTCTGCTGGGTAAAGCAAGCTCAGATCTCACTAGGAAATCTTTGTGGACTCCACAAAAGTGAGAACTAGGGTTATACTAAGCAAAGACACAGAGGATAAAATGACTACATGACCCACTGGAGAACTGCTAGGATCTCCACCTTCATGGACAGAAAGTGCAGAGGAGAGAGGCACAGCAAGATGTGGTTGACAAAACAGAAGATGGATCACACCACAGGTCTTGAATCTAACCTTCTAGGTCAATCAATGGCTTAAAAAATTAGTGTGAAAGGTGATTTTAGGTAGCACAAGGGCAAAGACAGATGCACGTTTAAATATTATAAACAACATAATATATAATTACAGTAATAATAAAATCCTTTACACTATATATATATATATATATATATATATATTTATATAACACAGAAGGACATCAGTAGCACATCACGCCTATTATGTCACAAATGTTTTTACTTAGGATGAAGCTACTTAAAGAGGCCATCATGGGGCTGGAGAGATGCTCAGTGGTTAAAAGCATTGGCTGCTCTTCCAAAGGACCCAGGTTCAATTCCCAGCACCCACATGGCCTCACAACTGTCTGTAACTCCAGTACCAGGGGACCCAACACCCTCTTCTGGCCTCTGTAGGCATGGCCACACATGAGACATGCGTGAGGTAACACACAGAAATTTTAAAACTATTTTTCTTCTTTTTAAAATAAAAGGCAATCATGTAAAAAAAATCATGCAGGTGATACTTGAGTTTTGAAATGCCTTTTTCCATAATGAGCTTTTAGCAAAGTAACAACATTAGTTTTTAGGAAGTTTTATCAAGTGAAAAGGAGGAGTTAAAATGGTAAGAAAAAAAGGGAAAGTGGCCAAAGACTTGCTATAAAGGTCTAGGTAGGTTACGGTCTAAAGTTGAAGTAGGTACAGAGGAATAAGAAGAAAAGGTTTAAATTGATGAAGATCAAGATTGCCCAAAGAGGGCGGTGGTGACGCACACCTTTAATCCCAGCACGCGGGAGGCAGAGCCAGGCGGATCTCTGTGAGTTCGAGGCCAGCCTGGTCTACAGAGCGAGATACAGGATAGGAACCAAAAAAACTATGCAGAGAAACTCTGTCTCAAAAAACCCAAAAAAGATTGCCCAAAGAACCTCAATGCCCTGATATATCAGGAAGTAGTCTAATGATGACATCACCCCTTTTCCGGTGACCTGACTGTTTATTAATAATAAACAAAAAAGAGGGGGATATAAGCCCCTCGAGCCACTGAAGGTGCCAGCCCCCCCATCCCCCGGACCTCTAACTGCCAGGTTCCACCCACAGTAAACTCTAACTGCCATAACTGCTGGACCCTGCCCCCACCCTGCAGAGCAAAAAGCCAAGATTTCATCTCTAGACATGAAATTCCACCTTGCTCCACCCTGGAAAGCTCCACCCTGGAAAGTTCCACCTCCTTCCCAAGAAGCTCTCTATAAGGCCTCCATCCTGTTTAGCTTGCTGCTGTTTCCTGTTGGAGCAGAGGCAGCCACCCTCCTGTTTTTTTTCCCCTCCCAATAAATCTCTTGTGTGAGGTTTGTTGTGCAGTGTGACTTTGTGGTATTCCTTGGCTTCTGGCTGCCAGGAGACCTTTCCATCCGAGCTGTAATGCTTACACAAATGACATTCAGCACTAGAACCCAGGGAAATGGGGAGTTACTAATTTCAGGGAAGAGAAGGCACACGAACGAGTCTTGGATGATTCCAGGGCTGTGGATTTGATGGCATGGTTAGAAGGAAAAGACTTTTTTTTTTTAAATGTGAAAGTGTGGATCAGAGAGAATGAGAGTGGAACTACCAATTTCAAGATATGTTGAGTTATCTTAGATGGACAATGTGGTAGGAAACAACTCAATTTTCAGTTCAAAGAGGCGAGAACTAAGAGCTACTTGCAGTAAACGCACTTGTAAATTCATAGCACAGTCGTGAATGAAGGATGGGCCCTAGGGATAATCATTACCCTTTGTTTTCAGTAGAGGAAAGGTCACGCTTGATCTTTAGTTATACATTTATGAAAGTTGGACTTGCAAGAAAAGTTATGACTTTTTATGCCTTCTTAAAGACATAAAGCCTGTAAATACTAATGCTTAATTGTGTTCAGCACAGACTGCCAGGCACCAACATGTAATTAAAGAAACTAATTCATATTTGTGTAAGTTTAGCACAGTGCATTTTCTTTTCTAGTGGGCACGACGGTACCTGGTTAATAATATACATACACTATTCTTTTGAAATTGTGTGTGTGTGTCCATCACTGAGCTATACAAGCCCTCGCTGTCTAGCTTTAGAGAGATGCCACAGTCACCTAATAACCAAAGTTCTCTTTTGGTTCTTGCTCAACACAGAGCTGTTCTCTGTTGTTCCTTAGTCATTTATTATAATGACACAAAGGATACAGGCATTTGAATTTGGCAAACTGACCCCATTCTCCCAAGCGAGATCAGAAACCCCTTTGGAGGAACGGTTTTTTCTTTTTACTTATCTAACTGTTATAATATGTCTTACCACCAATGGCCAGTTATGCCTGGAATATTGTTGGAGCTCAACAAGTACTGACTACATCAATGAAACAAGGTAGGGACATAAATAAGGGCAGGGAATTAAGACTTACATTCCAGGTATGCTAAACGATCTCATTTAATCTTATAACATCCTCTAAGACGATGAAAATGGGCTAGAGAGGGCATAATTGATTCTGACAGAAGCCTCTTCCCAATTTGGTTATAACGAATCAGAGACCAACAGGATTAGATCCTGATGCTCTTATCCAGGGTTCTGTATTGGCTGGTTCTTCCATGGTGTTTCTGGGTGACCTTGCTAACCTTCCTTATTATATCAGTAGCAGTGGCGGTCCTATCCCTGCTGACCTATTTCAACCTTGAGTTACGTTCCCTTCTGGTTCCTCCCGACTCGAATCTCAGGGCTGAAGAGCCCCTGCGCCCCGTTACAGCCAAGCGCCGGTATTAGCTTAGCCTCGGTCCGGCTGTTCGCACCGACCGCTGCGGCGTCCCAGGACTCACCCACACTGCTCCGGGCTGCTTCGCAGGCGGGGCCCCAAGAGTGCGCAGGCGCGTAGCGCAGCTTCTCAGCATCGCTCAGGCCAGGGCAGGACGCTATGGCCTCCTCTCACCCGGAATGATCCGCATTACTACACAAGCCTACACGCCGGCTCGGGTCAATTTACTGTGGAGGCGGGTGGAGGGCGGAGCCGCGCGCCGCCCGGAATGCCAACGCCTCCCCGAACCCGGGCGGACAGACTCCTCGCCGCCTGCTTTTGGTTCCGGGACACTTTGCGCCCGGCTCGCAGTCGCGCTAAGCGCTTGCACGGACCCTTGCACTCCTGCAGCGAGTCAGCTGACTCCTTTAGTTCCTTGTCACCAAGCTGTCAGCTCGCCTCGGGCAGACAGGAGCGCAAACCTCAGTGGATGATGTTGATATCCGGGTCTTCTGGGTGCAAGGTACTTGCACATTTAAAATGGTCAATCTCGCCGGGCGGTGGTGGCACACCACTTTAATCTCAGTACTCAGGCGGCAGAGCCAGGTGGATCTCTGAGTTCGAAGTCAGCCTGGTCTACAGAGCGAGTTCCAGGACAGCCAGGGATACACAGAGAAACCTTGTCTCAAAATACAAAAAACATCAACAGCAACAAAAAGTCAGTCCATTCTAGTTAATATATACACTCTTCAGTTGCCCACCTGTGTGTTGTGTGCTCACACATGCGCGCGTCTGTGTACTGAAAAGAATGTATTATCAACTTTTACTTTAGCAAGAACCATCTCTTTGAAAGAAAGTGCTGCTGGACTGGTTCCATAGAGTTAGCCTGAACTGTCTAATGGGAGCCTCTTAGTTTAAAGAATATCCATTGCGCCGGGCGGTGGTGGCGCTCGCCTTTAATCCCAGCACTCGGGAGGCAGAGGCAGGTGGAGCTCTGTGAGTTCGAGGCCAGCCTGGGCTACCAACCCCAAAGAATATCCATTGCTTTGCTGACTTGTTCATTCAGTGCTGGGGATTGCTAGACAGAGTAATCTCACAAAGGAATACAGAAACAAGGGGAGCCCCTTATCAAGGCTTTGCTTTTTTGGGGGGGGGTCAAAAGAAAGAGTTCACCAAGACCCAACTATGGTTAGCAAGCACACAGGGACAGGTGTCAGACCCCCTTTTCCCCCATTGCCTGGAGTCTGTCGTGATTGGCTAGGTTTGAAATAATAATTATGAAGAAAATGGAAGGGGTTGACTACTTAATACTTTAAGTTGCTTAAATTCAGAGAAGGCTGGAATCTTTATGTAAACATTTTATCTGGGTGGGGGTATTCTAACATTTGGATAGTGGTAGTACAGGCCTTTAATTCCAGCACTCAGGAGGCAGAGCCAGGCAGATCTCTGTAAGTTTGAGGCCAGTCTGGTTTATAGAGTGAGTTCAGCCCAGCCAAGGCTACCTAGTGAGACCCTGTCTTAAAGAACAATAAACAAACAAATGAACAAAAATCTGCATAGAGCTGGAGAGATGGTTTAAAAGTACTGGCTGTCCAGTCGATGGTGGCATACGCCTTTAATCCCAGCACTCAGGAGGCAGAGCCAGGCAGATCTCTGTGAGTTTGAGGCCAGCCTGGTCTACAGAGTGAGTTCCAGGACAGGCACCAAAACTACATGGAGAAACCCTGTCTCAAAAAAACAAAACAAACAAACAAAAAAAAAAGTACTGGAAGTACTGGGTGCTCTTTCAGAGGACTCAGATTTGATCCTGAGCACTCACATGGCAGCTTACATCTGTTTGTAATTCCAGTTCCAGAGGATCTGATGCCATCTTTTGGTCTGTGTGGGCACCAGGCATGCATGTAGTGTACAGACAAAACACACATTTAAATAAAATAAAATAATGATATTTTTTCTCTATTCTGTTTCACAGTGGGTAGTTATATGCTTTCAAATTCTCTAGTTGGAACACTTAATCTTCTGTTTATCTCATCTTTTACCTAAGACGTGTGGAGGCCCACAAAGGTTCCCTAGTGAGATCTGAACTTGCTTTACCCAGCAGAGCTGCATTAGAGGATTGCTTGACCGTGTGCATAGTTACCAGGTGATTGGAAAGGGTCTGCACTTGGCTGTGCTGGGGGAAGGTCTTTTGTGCCACCCCTAGGCATTCCTATAAATAGCCCTTTAGAAGAGCCAGAGGGGCTGGTGGATAAGGATCCAGGCTCTCCCAAGGCTATCTATCCTGTATTTTTATCTGTTTCTCTCCCCTCTATCCTTCTATCTAAATCTCTTATCCCTCTATCCTCAAGAGTACCCTGGGGTGAAATGTGGGAGCCGGTCTCCCATCTGGCCTCCCACAAAGACACCCTTCTTTTGACGTCTTATCTTTCATAGTCTCCCCAGATTTTTCTGTGGGAAGACTGAGAATGATTTTATTTATTTTATTTTTTGCCAAATGCTGTTTATTGAGGAGGGAGGAGGTCTTAAATACAGGTTTACAGCACAATGGGAGAACCCCAGAGGGCAGAAGTTCGCTACTGATGTTTTACAATCTTGCATCTAAACTGTTAAGGCCAATTATGCAGGATGCACAGACAAGGAACTTCCCTTAAGCTTTCAGGAGGGTGGAACTTGGCAGGGAATTAGCATAGGGAGGATATCAAGGTCAAGGTCCGCAAGCAAGGCAACAGTTACCCAAAACAGGGGCCAGGGCACTACAGGTCCCCCTTTTACTAGAAAATGAGCTTCTGATTTAGGTTGTGTGGGACATCAGCAGGTCACCTTACCCATCATGGAGACGCCTGCCCAGGTCACACAGGTGCTCTGAAAGACACCCATTTTTTAAAATTTTATTTAAATTTAAATGTTTTTTTTTTCATTTTACATACCAACCACAGCTCCCTCTCCCTCCCCTCCTCCCATTTTCCTTCTCCTCCCCCCGAAACTCCCAAACACTCCTCAGAGAGGGTAAGGCCTCTCTTGGGGAGTCAACAAAGTCTGGCATATCTGTGGTGATATTTGTAATCTAGGAAATAAAGCTTGCCTGAAAACCAGAGGACAGAGCCAGCCACAGAGTTAAGCATAGAGGTCAGGTAGTGGCAGCACACACCTCTAATCCTAACACTCTGGAGGCAGAGATCCATCTGGATCTCTGTGAGTTCAACACCACACTGGGTTACATGAGATTGATCAGTCTAGGGGAGAAAAAGAGCTAGGCAGGGGTGGCACACACCTTTAACCCCAGTGTTTGGGAAGCACACACACCAGTAGTCCCAGCACTAGGAATGCTGAGATAGGAAGTGAAATGGCTGGGCGGAGAAAGGCACAAAAGGAGAGAGGAAGACAGGAACTGGGAACCCTTTCGGCTGAGGACTCAGAGGCATTCAGTCTGAGGGTTCCTGGAGACAACTGAAGAGTTGGTGAGGTAAGAAGTGGTTGTGGCTTGTATCCTCTGATCTTTCAGCATTTACCCCAATACCTGGCTGTTTTTAATTATAAGACCATTTAGAATTCATGCAACACATATTGAGTTGAGGAAGGAGCAAACCCCCCAGCCCTGCATCATGGCTGAGCAAGGTATCCCTCCATAGGGAATGGGCTCCAAAAAGCTGGTTCATGCATTAGGGATAAATCCTGGTCCCACTGCCAGGGGCCCCACAAACTGCCCAAGCCACACAATTGTTACCCACATTCAGAGAGTCTAGTTCAGTCCCATGCAGATTCCCCAATTGTCTGTCCAGAGTCTGTGAGCTCACTAGTTCCAGTCAGCTGTCTCTGTGGTTTTCCCCATCATGACCTTGAGGGCACGCCCCCGCCCCCCCCTTGCTCACATAATCCCTCTTCTCTCTCTTCAACTGGACTCCAGGAGCTCAGCCCAGTGCTTAGCTATGGATCTCTTCATCTGCTTCCATCACTTACTGGATGAAGGTCTAGGATGACAATTAGGGTAGTCACAATCTGATTACAGGAGAAGGCCAGTTCAGGAACCCTCTCCACTATTGCTTAAAGTCTTAGCTGGGGTCATCTTTGTAGATTCCTGGGAGTTTCCCTAGCACCAGGTTTCTCCCTAACCTCATAATGGCTCCCTTTATCGAGATATCTCTTTTCTTGCTCTCCCTCTCTGTCCCTTACCCAACTCGACCATCCCACAACTCGACTATCCCATTTCCCATTCCCTCATGTCGTGCCCCCCGCCACTTACCCAGGAGATCTTATCTATTTCCCTTTCCTAGGGCAATGCATGTCCCTTTTAGGGAACTCCTTGTTACCTAGCTTCTCTGGGGTTGTGAATTGTAGCCTGGTTATCCTTTGCTTTACAAGACACCCATTTTTTTTTTTTTTTTTTTTTTTTTTTTTTTTCGAGACAGGGTTTCTCTGTGTAGCTTTGCGCCTTTCCTGGAACTCACTTGGTAGCCCAGGCTG